TCCTCGAATTTAAAACAGACACAAACAAAATAAAAGAGACGCAAACAAAATAAAAACAGACACCTACCGGGAAAAGTGTTTTGAAATCGGCGCAGCCGTTGTTTAAAACATGTGCCGTCCGTCGTGCCGCCGATCACGTTCGTCGGATTTCAAGCGGGTTTAATTTCCGCGCACTTTGCACTTCGCACGTATATAAGCTACGAGCTCTGTACCACGTCCCACGTCCTACGTTGTATCCAAATATCGGCCGGTGCTTCGTAAGCGTTCGAAATCCGATCGCCGATGGCCCCCCGATGGAAGATCGGAATGTGCCTTTCGTATGCATGACGAAACGTTCATACATATACGATATACATATATACACCCGCCAACCGTCTATAATTTGCGATACCCCGCCTATTACCGCGGGGTCAGTAAGTAATCCTCGCATATGGCACACGCGCGCCGACTCGCCGACGGCGAACTGTTGTGTTGTTAATAAAGCGCGTTTAATCGCTAATTACACAGCGTTTTAATTATCGGCTCGGAATAAATAGCGAAAAGCAATAGCGGGCGCAATAAACACGCGCGACGACGACTTTATCCCGCTGCGCACGGGCGCTTCGGTCATGAAAACCCACGAGAGATGTGGCTGACAATTTGTATATCGATAGATATGAATATTCAATTGCGATAAATAATCGAAGAACGCAACTTATGTAAAAGGGAGCAAATATATTCCTGTACCACCTATATATTTACCAGATAGTCACTCCTTGTTGGAACAATCGCAAGTTGTCGAATGTTGTGAGAATTTTAACTACACAAGATTGTGAACAGACTAATGCGGCGCCAACGTGCAAGGCTGACGCAACACGTGAAGAGAGAACAAACGAGTTTAGATATGGTCTTTCTCGCAGAATTGTATCGTCTCGAATTTAAAAAAAAAAAAAAGCGCAGATAATACATAATAGAATTTTTTTTTTCCACTGGAATGAAATACACGCACCGATATTTGTTTTCGCGTGCAAGATAGGCCACGTTCTTAAATAACATTCATTTGCGTGCATAAAACAAAGCGAGCGCGTATAATCCCGAAGTAAAATCTACGAATGAAAAATTTATCGTCGCTTTTTTTTTTTATTTTTAAATGATATTATATTCGCTGTACGTCATAAACTCTGCGATGAATAAATATCGTTAAACCGCGACTGTTAAAAAAAGCGACTTCCCGTTTTGGTATCGAGACCCGAAACGGGAACCGAGAGTGGAATTCGGACGATGCTGGAAGGTCGAAACTCGGGAAGGCAAAGAACTCGCGCGGAGAGACCGGCTCCTCGGGCCTCCGAGGAGAGACGATGTGGGACGAAAATAAAAACCAAAATAAACAAAATCGAAAAGGACGGGGAACGAGAAGGAAGGGGGTGTTGGAACCGGCAGAGAGAAGGGGAACGGGGGGAGGGGAACTCTCGCAAAATCGCCGTGGCCGGGAAAAGAGAGGGGAGTCTGGAGGTAGACGACGCGCACAGGGTAATAAATATCGGTGCGATTAGATCTCCGATGCCGCCGCTTTGCGTTGGGAGGGTTGGTTACGAACGAAGGGAGCGAACTATTAATCACTTCATGTTAATCAAGCCGGCCGCTAAGTAGGCCGCGCCACGGTATTAAACTGCACTGCCACGCATCGTCATTGGCGCGCCAACGAAACGCGCGCGCATATCAAGCGCAGTAGGTAGGTAGGTTTATCGACACGAACCGTCTTAACAGTCCGGGTACATCTCTACAGATCTTCGGAGTTACTTAATTAATCAAGACATTCAATTTATATACCCGTAATCTTTCATTAAAAATTATATCGTTCCGAGATAATTGGACAAGTAACGCACAAAAACTTGAGACTGACCGAGCGTGTTTCAATTGAAGACGTCATATTGAATAAAATCTCAGATCTGATAACTCGCATTTGCTCCAGGTTGGTTAGTGCATGAACATAGGATCTGAGAAATAGAAGAGAAAATACCGGAAGGAGAAAGAGAGAAAAGTCAAGACGCCACTAGACCCGGAGACCTCGTGTGTGGCTTTACGTGGCCTTTAGCCTTCTATTATTCGACTTCGCGCTAGGTCCCTATCCCAAAAGATCTGTACCTACCGCAGACATGCGTGCGGCGTTCCTCATTTTTGAGGAATTAATCTAGACTAATTGCCATGTCGGACGAGAGGGCGCTCTCGCTGCCGATCCCTCCGAATTATAGTGCTCAACGTCAACAAAAAAAAAAAAAAAGTAAATGAAAGAGTAAATTAGAACGGATTTCTTACGAATCCGTTCCGCGAAATTGTGAATTCCTGCTCTCGAGAGTAAGAGCGACTCTCTCTCTCTCTCTCTCTCTATTCTCGCGAATAAAATCTAAAATATATGTGCGTAATTTATTAATATACAAATTACACACTTCGCTCCGACGGATTAATGGTTGAAAAGAATATATAAAATTGATCGGAAAGAGAGAAAGCTGGACGCGAGGAAAAAGAGGAGGAACAGCGGGATGACGCAAGGTCTTTATGGACTTGTTTGTCCGTCTGTGAGTTTTTACGAATTATTCGAAAAGTTCCGTCGAGATGCATCCGAATGATCGTTTCGGACGATCGCACAATTGCAGTTGGATCACGCAATCTCTCCTCATTCGGTAGCGATCGGTAGCGTCATTTACGATCGCACAGTAATAGAAATTCCCGTTAATTACCTAATTGTCTCGGGTTTAATGAATTGTGGGACGTTCAATTAAGTTCCGATCGATAAGGGAGGGGGAGGTGCGCGTTGTTAGAATTTTTTAGAACACGAGTTTCGTTACAAACATCCTACGAATGCAATATCCAATGTGAAAAAAACGAAATCTTATCAATTTTCACGTCACGAGAGTCTCTCTCTCTTTTTTTTTCCTTCCCGTCTGGCCGAAATAGAATTTGTACAAACTGATCAGCTTCCCGATTAAACCCCGCACTCCGCTATCCCCCTCGAATCTGATCGAAGCGGTGTCCGGGGCGCGCTGGTTCATCCCCCCGAAACAGAGCGAACGATCGCGTCGCGAGTAGCGAGACGAGATGAAGGCGAGAGGTGGACAAAAGTAAATAAAGTCTCTCGAGAAAGACTGAGAAAATATGTCGATAAATCTAATGTCTAACTGAGATAGGTAAACCGGGGCGTCCCCGGGAAAACAGTTGTCCCACGCGCACGGCTACGACCGGCGATCGTGACGGACGATTGTTTCCCGTTTTGGACAAAATCGGTAGCTCACACCAGAAGTTACTTTCGGATTGTCTCTCCTGCGAAGCCGGGGCCGGCGAGAAGGGCGACGATCTTTCCACCTCTCTGAAAAAGTTTTCGAATTCTTTCTATCCACAACGACCTCTTTTTCGTCCCGACGTCGTTTTCGTCCGTCTTTCTCTCCTTTTCCTTTTCTCGATATACTTCTCTTCGGCTCGTTCGAAGTGCGGCGCGTCCGCGAACATAACTCAGACCGACGTATTGATTTGACTATGATGAAAGCTAAATTTCACGAATTGTTTTCCATTAAACCGTGTCGGCGCAAATAAAACAGAAAACGGAAATACAATCTTTCTTAATTAGAGAGAGTAATGACTCCGTAATGTTTCGACACTATATAGATGTGATTTTCAACTACGTTTACGTACACCGAAAAAATTCTATTCTCGTAAGTAGAAGATTTTATACTTAAAAAATCTTCTTAAAGAATTTAGATGATATTCTTCTGAAATTAAGAATATAGTCTTTTTCGATAGTTAGATATATATGTTTTTCTATAGAGGCTTTTTATATTCTAATCAGTATATATTCTTATCAATATTACTATTTAGAGGATTTTCCTCCTAAAATAAGAAACTCTTCTTGGCGCCTATTTTAGTATAAAATATACTTAAAGTAAGTGGGATATCCTCAAAACAAGAATACAGTTTTTTCGGTGTACGTGTATCAATTATCATCCTTGAACATTTGCAAAATGTCTTTGCTTTCGATTAGAAAAAAATATCTCTAAAACTTATATTTTGATACATATATATATAAACTTTCAAACACACAAAACAATTTTGTTCGGTAATTTGTTATTATTTTTCGCGCGCAAACTTCTTGAAAATAGAACAACGCAAAATGCCAGGTAAAAGAAAAAGCAACATTGCACACGCACAAGCGCGTGCGCGCGCGCGCGCGCTTTAATTTATGCCCTTCCGATTCTTATTTTTATCCACCGGGTGAAAAGCCTCCGAGGCTCAAAGGCGTTACTCGCGTGTGACGCGTGCAATTTCTTGTGGAATTATTCCACGTACGCGCCAACGGCAGTTTGTGATATATGGTCAGGCGCGCGAGAGACGTGTCCCTCCTACACGCGGTGACCCTTTGACTCTTCGGGCCGAATATTGAATCACTCTAATATCTCGGAACGAGATATACACGCTTCACGGCGCGCACACTCGGACCCCGCTTCGGATCTTCTTCCAGGCGTGCGTTCAATTATGTCCGCGCGCCACGCGCGCGTACCTGCCTACGTAATTTCACAGTCAGTGACAACGTCGGACTGCTACCAAGGCTACTTTACCGCCGAGCATCCGCCGTAAAACATATACCGCCGGGCACTCTCGTGCGCTAGTAATTAGGAAGTAATTCCCCGGGGAACAGATTTATAGCCGTCAGAAGAATTATAATGCCGAGAGACTAGATCGATAATAAAGTTCATAACGCGATCGCCGATTCAATATACACGGGAAGGAAGTATGCAAATTGATACTCGCGTGTATGACATTTTCAGGTCGATTTTGACATTATAGCGACGTAATTGACAATCTTCTCTCCAGATTATTTGACCGATAAGAGAACATTAAAGCGCTAATTTCAGGGTTAAGTTAAGTTAGTTTCTCTCGGCCAATTATACGATGGTAAGTTTTTTCCTTTTTTTGTTTTTTTTTGTTTTTTTTTGTCAACAATGAGTGAACAAGGAAAATTTCGTCAATGTAATCATTGTAGTACGTGTCGTTTACACTTAAATGCACACATTTTATTTTAAAGTCGTACATAAAATTATTATCTTCTTATCTCTCTATTACGAGAGGATGCGTTTTGATCCAATCATTTTTAGTATATTTCAGCAAATTTGAAAGTTTATAAAACAATAAAAATATATCGAGTCAAAAATATGAAACAAAATTTTCTTAATATAATAATAGAATTTAAAGATATAAGAAGCGGTTACGCTTGTGCTTAACTTATAGATGATAAAAGATAAAGATGCGTCATGGGTATTTTTGCTACTAGAGTACAATGTTGAATTTTTACACTAAAACAAACAAAACTTGATTATAAAATCTTGCGGAAGATTCTTGTCGCAATTTCACAAGCGGTGTCTCAAATATTATTTAACTTCCTGTACATTAAGACGTGTATTTAACCATGTAAATAAACCATGTTTACATGTACAGTCAAACTTGAATCTCTCAGTAAAATAAAAAAATATGTTGTATTTTATATGATATAAAATTGTATATATTAATGAACAAAAAAAACATTAGACACATTATGAAAATTCCAGCAAGATACAAGTTTATGCTCATCAATTACTCATCGTCAAAAAATATTAAGTAAAATAAAAACTATCCTTTGAAGATGTGTATTACTGATTATATGTAGACATATAATATACCCATGTATGTAAATGTAACACATGTGAAAATTCATATGTTATACAATTCGATATTGTTTCGAACTTTGTCTTTTTGACCAAAAACCTGACCGAGTTCATTACCGAGTCCCGTTATCGTCATCAGGCAAAGTGTGCCGTTGTCATATTGTTCGTCATAAGAACGGAAATTTGTTGCACACTTTGTTGTTTCAAGACAATTTGCACAAAAATTCCCATAGACAGTTTTTTTTTTTAAGCACTTCTAGCGGTTACATCGTCACTTGGACTGATTGAAGGATCTTTTTGTATGCTTTCGCGACGTCGTAGTTGTGAGATTCTCCTCGAACGTGTCCGCGGTAAAATCTTGCTCCTTCTTAGGCGTTACGCTGACTGGTCCGTTTCGTCTCATGCGAATATTGACCGATCGCTCCGCAATACCGTTTCTGACTTGCTGCTTTTTCTTTTGTAGCTTGGATGTTCTGGATGACGAGGGCGGAGGTGGCAGAGGTAGATCGAACGGCGGCGGTATCTTCGGCGGCGGTAAGCGCGCGACCGGACCGGCCGGTAATATCGGCGGACCGGTCATTCTTGGCGGGCCTGGCAAACGAGGAGGAAAACCAGGATGCGGAAAACCTGGTCCGTGAGGAGGCGTCAGCGGCGGACGCGCCGGTGGCGGACCGTATCTAAACGGTCTGGGCCCGTAGGGCGGCGGCGGCGGCGGCGGGCCCATCGGCGGTGGTGGCAGCGGCCAATCCAACATCCCATGCGGAGGAGGAGGCGGTATCGGACCGAATGCCGGCGGTGGACCGAATCTCTGTGACGGAAACGGTCTGCCGTTCGCGAAATTTCTGCGCATCGCGGACAATGTCGATCCCGACGGATACACTACACGAGTCTTCCTCAATCTTATTCTCTTCCTTCCGGTAGCTGGGGTAGAAATTTGCGACAAATTAATTTTGCTTGTTTCGATTCTATCCCCAGGTTGAATCTCCTTGAGAGCGTCGAGATAAATGTTACGTTCGACGGGATAACCACGTGCTTCTCCAAAAGCTAAACACAAAAATAGAGAGAAAGACAAGTTTCGCTTTGAGCAACAAAAACTCATCCTCCTCGAGGAAATTGAACGTTACATGTCACGTTGAGACTGTCATCTTTAACTAACCTAACCGAACGTTTGTTGTAATTTTCATTGCTGTAACAATATTTTTTTTGTGTGAACACGAGAGAACCGCGCGTGTACAGACAATTACGAATTCGCAGAAGAAAAATTGATTCGCGTTAAGCGCAAAAGTAATTTATTTTATTGTGTGAGCGACGTGCAAGAGAAAGGAATAAAAACGAGGAAAGAAATAGCCCACGTAATCATGGCCTACTTACTATGTACTGCTATTTCTCAGACGTTCGTCTTAGAGGCCATTTTCAAAAGTGTCAAAAACTAATTAGTGATAAAAATTTACAGTTATATATTTCCTTTCATCAAAAAAATATCTGATAAGAATCCTTTTACGTACCTTTTACGGATTCTCGGAATTCCCAACCTAGTTGCTGAATAAGATACCTATACAACAAAAGAGTAGATATCAACAGATTTTTTTTTATTACAAACCGTACAATCGAATATAGGATCTAAATAATAAGAAAATATCATCACAGAGATAAATTGCGCACACATCTGTTCGTTTGCGTTCAAATATTTAAAAAGTCAAACAAATGCTCGAAAAAATATTTATTAAATTCAAACATATATCGATAAATAAGAAAAAAAAAAGAATTCTCACTAATTACAAACGATCTAAATTTATATTTATGCAATATATATATATATATACTAACCTACAAATTAAATAACCAGTACGATTTACACCGTGTGTGCAGTGCACACCTATAAGCTCACCTGCAACAGAAAGCGCACACACACATCTCATGATTATTTTATCAATGTACAAACGAAACGCCTTAAAATTACGCTTTAATATCGCAAGACAAACGGGAACACACACATTCGCAAGTGTGTAAATTCCGGCAACTGAACGTCGTCGCTAAGGAATCTTCGTTTTTTTGCATTTTTCCTTTTTAAGGAGTTTCATAAGTAATGAAGTTAACGTAACCGATAAAGTAATTACGCGACGGATAAAAAAGAGCTCTCTCCCCGAGCCGGCCGGCCGGTCGGTCCGAGACACGCGATCCGTATCTCCGACGGCGCTTTCACGAGCGTCGGACGGCGCCGAGGACGCCGTTCAGAAAACGCGAAGAGAGATATTCGCGTTGCGAAAAAGAAGTTGCGCCCAATAAGGACGCGCGCCGCTTATACAGCGCGCGGCAAAAGACGTACGATTCCACGGGTCATCAATTCGGTCCGGGGCGTGGGGTCGGCACCTCTTCGGGCCCAGCAAGGGGCTGATTATAATATTATCGCAAATTATACCGGCAAAAGCTGCGACGAATTCACGACTGCGATTCGTGACTCTGACCGCGGCCGAAGCCGGTCGCGACTCGGCGATTTCGTAAGAGCCTTAATGAGAGATAGTTGACCATCATAACGATCGAAGCGCGCGCGCGCGCGCGTCTACCGCCGCCTATCGCTTCTTTCTCTTTTTTTTTCTTTTTTTTTTTTTTTATCTTCTCTCTCTGTGAGTTTCACCCTCGCACTTCTCCTCTATATTAACGTCTCTTCTCGTTTCCGAGCAAAGCGCGAATGTGAGCGGAGGTATAAAGTACCAAGTACTTTAGAGGCACTTCGTACCTCTTTACCGCACGGCTTTCAGTGTGAATTAAGTGACCCATCGCGGGTCATACGATACGCCGGTTTGACCTCTTCGAGCCATTTAATCGAACGGAGCGACGTATGTCGGTATCTCTCTGAACGATACAAGCGCGCGCGAGTTATTTCCCTCTCTTCTCTCGGGGGGAGGACTCGAGAATACCTAGTACTGTCCGCAAAACGGACAATAATGCAAATATACGGGGGCTTAAAATTCATGGCGCCGGACGAGACGACGATAAGATATTTCGCGAAAAAAAAAAAAATCACGACAAACAAAGTCTAATAAAACAGTTGTGACCGGAGCTATCTTCGATCTAAACGCAGTCCCCTTCGTGAAAAAGTATTAAGATAAAAAAGCACGCGAAGGAGCAAAAAACGCGAGGCTTGGGGGGGGGAAGGGCATTAAAAGTTATTTCTTCGCGAAGAAGTCCTTGCGTGGATCGTCACACGCGAGAATAATGTCTCGGGAATCGTAAAAAACCGCGAGTACGCGTGTGGAGTCCGAAAAGAGAGCTCGTGAAAAAAATCGCGACATTATTGAGACAAAAGGCGAGACTCGCAAATATTATAGATCACGGACACGCGGTTCGACGCTGTCGCAACAACGCGTAACACGATCAAAAAAAAAAAAAAAAAAAAAAAAAATACGTAAGCTCGTTGATGCGCACCTATCACGAGGTCATCTCACGGTTTTGCCGTACGTATAACCGTCGTCAGACAGACTTGCATTCTGTGGCGAATGTAGGAAATCTTCGCGGAACACGTCTACATCTAATGTGAATCTGGAGAAACCGGCACCCCCCGTGGCGCGGCGTGGTCTTTATATGCTACAAATAGACGGATCCTCTCACAGGCAGATTGTCCGAAGATTTGCGATTTTGATTGCGCATCGACACACGTCGCGTTTCCCAGCCGCGCGTCGTTATTTTTTTTTTTTTCTCATTGTCGCAACACGGAAGTTACGTACGTCGTACTTATTAAGGTTCCCCATCGGAACCTGTCGTTTCAATATTCAAAAAAAAGGGGAGTGTTTATTTACACCGATTGATTTTTTTTTTTTTGCACAAATAAAAATTGATCTCTTATCGGGAAATTATGTTTCGCCGCGAAACAGACGTAACGATCTTACACGCGTAAACAGAAAATAAAAAAAGAAAAAGAAGAAAAGGTGTACACAAGGAGAACCTTCCGTGTGGAATTTCGCTTATCGAAAATCTTGGGCGCAAACGAATTGGCACTCGAGTCCGTGCGTACGTACGTTCATACATTGGTGTGTAATTACAACGCCCAGGAGGGATATTACGTAGGTATGTTCGGAGCGTCCCGCTGTTCGGCACTCTCTCTCGAAATGAAACGTTGCTCAACGGGAGCCGAAGCGGAGACGATAATAATAATGTTCGCCGATCGAAAATCAGCCTTGTATACTCAGCAATATCATCAATTAGGAGCGAGCTCGCGATCAATTCGATACTTTTGTTTCACACTGCGTTGCGAAGAAGGTACATTTATTGAGAATCAGAATCACTTCGGATTTGCATTAAACACGATGCGACTTACGTATAGAACCGGATTAAGGATACGAAAACAAATTCGAAAGAGCAAAAATATATAGTAACAACAAGCAATATGTGTTTCGCTAATTTTTCGCTACCCGCAACAACGCTTCGGGTCCGTCAAGTTTTCGCGGGAGCGCGAAAACGAGACGCGCAAAAGGTCGGTCGCGGTTGAAACCTCCGCTGCTGACGACGGACGCGCAAAGGGTGGGCGTTCGCATGCAAATATTGTTTTCGTCCGTGCCCCCGAGATATCGCCGACGAAGGGAATAAAAGACCCGGTCCGGGCGGAGACCGCATCCGGAATTGCACGCGCCACTCCCCGCACGACGTGAAGGATGCTTTTTCGGGCTACTAGAGTAGTCGACGAGTATGACCCGAAGCGACGTGGCGAATGTGGCAATATGATATATATACGCGGGAGGTATACACGTCGGCTCAAATAGCCTCTGGTGAACGTAAAGATCGCGATTGCCTCGTTGCCGAAGAGGAAACTTCTAGTAACGCGTGATATACGCGAGAGCTTAAACGAGGAGTTGAACATTAACGTCCGAGAGTGCGCGCGCATAAATACGCGAAAATATCGCCAGGCGTGTTATTGTTTTCTTTTTTTTTTTTCGCGATTTTTGCAGTTTTTAAATCAATCACACGTTGTTACACACATGTGAAGAAGACGTATCAGAAGTTCGGGAAAGATGAACAAACGAACCGAAGAAACAAGTTACACGATCGTTACCACGTGATCAACTAGCGTACGTCCTGAAAAATGTAATATTGGTATTGACAAATAAATATTATAGCGCGACGACGGATAAATAAAAAGTTAAGCAAACCGGTTTCTTTTAATCTCGAAATGCGTTTAGTCTCTTCGACGGACCGTTCTAAATTCGGGTTACTTAATTCGTAATCTTCTCGAGTTTCCTTACAAACAATTCCGAGAGAGAGAGAGATCTATGAACCGCGACACAAACCCTCCCCGGATCCTTTTGCGATTTCGACGAGTTTTAGGAAAATTCCGTAAATTTTGAAAGTTTCCGTGCCATTTCAAAACAGTTCTGTCTATTGAATAAATTTCACAATGTTGAGTGTTTTATCCCCGGAATTGTGGCAAGAGAGCGGGAGAGCATTGAACCCACAAGAAGACAATAGATTCTGTGGAGATACGATAGATTTATGACACGAGGTATTTCGAAATATAAACTAAGGAGATCAAAACTTTCTTACATTTGTACACGTACCACCGAATGCCGATGCAGCTACGTAGATATGACCGGTCGTTTGGCATGAGAAAAAATGGAGAACGCGGAGAAGTTATATATACAGAAGAAAAAAAAAAACAAGAAAGAAAAAGACGGCGCGGAGGAAAGGATGAGAAAGGAGACTAGAAGAAGAAACGCTCCGGGGAACTTTCTTCTCGACTGGTTGATAAGCGGCGGCAGATAATTAACAACGTCTTGATATATGCACGTGTGTACGTGTGTGTGTGTATGTGTACGCGCGCGCGTAGGCGATCCTTCGCTCCACGAACTTCGGTTCGGATTCGTTTTCGATCATCCCTGTCGAATCGTCCTCCCGAATCAGAACGCAGAGAAGCCCGGGCCAAACGACCACCGGCTACTCTACATTCGTTCTCGCGACGTACAACACGACCGGGCAATCGAAGGAGTAAATTAGGAGAAAGGATAGCGCTCTTGTACACATCAGTCGTGATCAGCAGCTTTCGGTTTTCGGGGGCTGAGAATCCTTACGAGTTCTTTCTCGTCGGAAGCGCGAGAGTAACTCGATATCTCGGTGCTTCGTGTTAGTTTTTTTTTTTTTTTTTTTTTATACACGATTGTCGATACAAAGAATTTTTTTAAGAACTATTCCCTAGCTACAGTGTTGTTGAACCCTGATGCATTTTAGTTGGCGCCGATCAGACATGAGTCTTGCAACTTTCATCGAACGTTTCGAGAGCGATGCAACTTACTTTCGATCCGATGCAAAAGCGTTGAAGCGACGGTATTACTCGTCCAAAACTCTGTTGCAATAAGGTCACTACGAGATACCGAAGCAACTTTGTGTAACAAAGATAAAGACGCGCGTTTGATTGATACAAAAAGACGATGTATATTGATTGTAATGTAAACTCACCTTCACCGCATGTTGCTGTAAAATCATCCATCACTTTAAAGAATCTGGAAGGAAAGAGAGCACAAATTTTTACTTCAGACGAGAACGAAAAGTAGCGATTGCAAAGTGATTTATTTAAGTTTTGTTTTGTTTTTCACGAAAAAGACAAATTTGATTTCGTTACGCGAAAGAACGGAGTGTGTAATTTTAAAATACACTCTTGATTCTTTAAGTTCGCAAACTTGAAATAAAAATAAAAGCTTTGATTAAATGCCAGGCTTAGAATTTTTGTAAAACTTTTTTTTTTTTTTTTTTACGGTTGTGTTGACCGGAGCCAGCTAAAAAACTCACCTACAAAAATTTCGTCGGGAACGACGTGTGTTTAATAGCGTTTTGTAATTGTGCTTCAATGAACCAACCAGTTCGCATAATAACTTATCATTATAGCGAGAGCATTAACATTCTCGCTCCTAATTACTTACTCGGCAGCAATTATTTATCCCGGTGGAATAAATAATATAATTAATATTTCAAATATATATACCCAATATATAACACTATAAGCATGCGTAATAACAGCCGCTGCCTTTGAGGGGACAGCACACAGTCTCCTTATCTGTCCTTTTATTTGCTCTGTTCATAATTTCACGAAGCGAGCGCGGTGCGCGCGCGACGCCGATCGAATTTCCATGAGGCCGATGAAAAAAGTAATCGGTTAAATAAATATTCAGGTAGAGAACCGGTGAACCGGTCGGGCAAAACCGGCGTTGTAATAGCTATATGTAATAGGTATGCAGAGAACCCGAGAGCGCGGCAAACCGAAGGAATATGGTAATGAGACTTGAGAAGCCAGGATGTTGCGCGTTCCGAAAAGTTACGGGGCGAGCGCGGGCGAGCGAGCACGCGGCGCTAAGAAGTTAAATCGATTCCAAATTATGTCATGAAAACACGACGTCGCAACAAGAGCGCTCACGCGTTCGTCGACGAGGATTAATAACAGTCGCGCCGCGACAGCGATTTTTCAAACGGGGGCAACGCATTTCCCCTGTCCCTCCCCCCCGCCTATTTGTCCTCTGTATAAACTTCACCGTGAACTTACGGGCGACTTCTTTGTGATCTATGGGATAGAGAGCGGGGAAAATGGAAAGACACGGGAAACAGTACAATGAAATATGTTCACTTTGCACCAAAAGAAAGGAGGGAACGCGTTCCCGTTTATTAAAAAAGAAAAAAAAAAAAAACCACCACCGCAACGGCGCGTGCGAAAAAACATTGATGGCGGCTTTCTTCCGTATTCTTCCTCCAAAAAGTAACAGTTTTATTAAATGTCAATAAATATATACACGAGATGAAATATATTTGGTTGCTTCTTTCGCTTTTTTTTTTCTACAACAATCTGAAAAAGAAATTCAAGCGTGTGCCAAACTAAATAAACATGTCGCGCTACTAAAAACTAAATAATATTCGATTCGACATTCTTATATGCACATTTTATTAGGAACTTTTGTGAGATGTGCCAAAACAGTTTAGTTTTCGATAAAAGTGAATGTAGCACAAAAGCACGAAAATTCGTTTCAATCCCCTTCACGATCATCCATCCAGCTGCGGATAGATCCGGTTCCCCGAAGTTACCGCGCTCGTTATTGTAAGTGGAATTGGGTGGCCCAATTGTGGCGGTCTATAGGGGCTTAATAGGACCGTTTTAGTGCCTTTGGTCCCTTTCAACTGAGAAACGAACTCCCTACAGCCCGATTAGGGGCTAACGCGATTATAAGCTAACTCACTCACGAGTTGCCGACTAGTTTTCTGGACCACCGTTCAAATATCGATGGCTTGTAAGGTGAGAGATATTTATAACCTGCGAGAGAGACCTCTTAACTCATAATGACTCTCGAAATAGAAGCGTCTCGTTTAGGGGTGTGAACGTGTACTCCACCGAGTCAAATCGTAATCATATTAAACCCCCGTTCTCAGATTGTATCAAACGATCGATCGATCAACAATCCAATTAATTAAACCGCTGATCAACTTTACGATCGTCGTAATGATACATCGTAATTAGCACGAAGAAATAAAAAAAAAAAAAATAAATAAAAATAAAAATAAAAATCCACGTGACAGCAGAATCACACGCGGTAACGTCAGAGTTACGCGCGGTTACGAAACACTTGAAATATATTTGTGGCGCGTCTTTCTCATTTCGAGAACGTGACAGCACAATCACGGAAAGATGCATCTATCACGGAGAGAGGAAGAGAGAACCCCGCGGCCTTCTCCGCGGGATGAAATATCGAAAAGTTAGCTGCCGAGACGCTCCGTGGTGCGTGCCGCCGAAACGTGAAAAATGACGAGCGTTAAATTAATTTGAATCTCTCTCGGATTTGAATTACAGATTCGGAGACGCGGAGGTGTGTTCTAACGCGGCGCTTCGCACTCCGCCCGAAATCGAAATTTCATCCTCTCTTGAAGAACCCGATATCAAGAACCAACTCCGTCATCATCATTACCCATCATCATCGTCGTGATGATGATCATCATCAGCGTCATCAACCCGATGATCGTACTTCTGATCGCCGTTTCCCCCCCGTTCGGAGATCCAAAATCAAAAGCTCTGACCACGATGCACGTGTGAGACGAGCGGCCATCAATATTTATAAAACCAGTCATCCATCAGTGCGACGGAACTCCTTCGACGAATATTTTACCGCATTACCCCGCTTTACGAATGCATAGGTTTCACCGCGTGTTTACCTTTTTATTGAATATCGCTAAGTGTCATTTATCTCGTTTTGACACTGGAAGGCCGCGAACCTCCGAATGAATTCAATCGCACACCAGGAAAATATAAAACCGTTTTCTCCTTTCTCTCTTCCCCGTGTTACATCGTTGTGATCTCGCGTTTTTTTTTTTTTTTTTTTTTTTTTACACGCGCGGAAAAGTGAGACTCAACTTTCGAGGGACTCGCGCACGGTGTCGCGCAATCGAGGTGTTAATGGAACACGTACTTTTTACAATCTTTCTCGTGTCTAAGCGATTTCGTCGCTAATTAAGTCACAGATTTCTTATCGAGATAACGCCGCCGATACGATCCAAGTCCGGTGTGTTTGCGCAAACCGTGAAAAATCACGCGTGAAAACGAACAACGTCTCTTCGGGCCGGAATAAGGACAGGCGCCGGTGAAACCGCGAAACGACGTTTATGGCGCAGCGCGATTGTCGGTCGTAAGTGGTGTGTTCATTTGAATATCGCACGGTGTGTGGTCCTTCGCACGCGCCCACCGTACTACGTACGTATTTGCCGCCCGTTTGCACGCGTGCGTGTATAAAACTTCACCGTGAGACCGCGACGACCGGGTTGCGTTCGTGTCGTAAAAAAAAAAAAAAAGACGATTGCGTAACGACGCGTTATCCTAAAAAAAAAAAAAACTCGATCGCCGTCCGGGGAATACAACAGCGTGTCGCTATTTAAATTGTACGGATACTAAATTACAAATTGTCATCCAAGACAAGACGATGACAAATAAATACATCACGGTGTTTATCTTTTCGAACGTGCGGATGCACATTTGTCATTCGAGACATATCGAACTTTTTCACACACACACACACACACACACGGTCGATTGTTTTTTACAGGACATTTGTATGTTTAACGTAAGGACACTCTTCTGTGTGCAAAAGAGAAGATGTAAAAGAGAATCGAGTCGAAGACAGCCAGTCGATAGCGTTAACTGACATTACATCTTCGTAAATAACTCATGAACGAACGCAAAACTTTATTCTCGCGACTTGTTCGTATATTTTCGTGAAGTGAATTTTTTCGAAACTTAAATTGCCAAGCGGTATAAAATTATAATTTTGCGCAATTTTTTTTTTTTATAAAATCAAGGTGTCAGTACACGAAAATTAAGACGCGTCCTATCTCGTTTATATAAAACTCCTTTTAGACTTTAGACACAATTGTTACTTATAATTGTTTTTACGTAATGAAGGATGGCGAGAAAAGCAGATCGATAGTCGCGCTGATTACGACGTCACGATGTAATTTTACAAGAATTTGATCCTTTTGCAACTGTATTTTTTCGGCAACATTTGGCAAAATTTTTTAATACCACGTGTTCGATGAAATCAACAATGTGCACTTGCGAGCCGACTAATGCCACGGAAGAGTATTACACCGCATATTCCGACATCGAAACGTACGTAACCCCTAAAATTTTTTAGGTTATCGAGTGCATCGCAATATACGAGAAATAAAAGAATATTTTTAAATGTACAATACAAAAACGCGTCAAAGAGAAAACTTTCTCTCTGTTTATCTTCTCCCTCTTGAAAATTTATTTCTATAAAATTTATTTATAAATGAAATAAAAAAATTTTTCTCAGATCAACACCGGAAGAATGGCGCACGTCGACGATGGACTACGACGAGAGAGAATTCGCGCCACCGGCTTTCTCGACTCCGAAAAGAACTCCCCGACGAGATATTCCACGTCCTAGTCCACGTGCTCCTTTGAGAACACGTAGACAAGATCTCGTAGCTGGGGTGGCTATTGTTCGACGACGAATCGATTGTACGTACGAATTAGTAGCGAACAAATATAAAAAAAACATACAACTGAGTTGTGATACAAAAATACAATAAGAAAGACGTTGTATCAACGTTTTGATGTAAAATTCGATATTTCTTGTTCAGTCGACGCTTCGTTGGATGTCGAAACCGACGATTTGGAAGAGGAAGATCGTAAGTTGTATCGCAAAAATTACTGCGCGTTAATTGTCTGAAGATTAAAAATGATTCGACGTTTCGAATCATTTCGACATTTTTATCGACACGTCAATATCGGATTTTTGTTCAGCGAGAGAAATATTAGAACGGTTGAAAGCAGCAGCGCCGCCGGCTCCCGCTGAAAGATTGAGATTCTCGAGGCCGAGGCAGCATCCGGAAGCGAGATACGCTTCTCAGTACGCGCCCAGAATGACCAAGGTTACTCCTTGCGGGAAATGCATAAGAGTGAGTGTCCTTCCACTTCTGAAACTATGGCGCGCGCGCATACGTTCGATCGGAGAAAGAGAGCTCGAATATTTTTCAAATTTCACCGCATAAAATTCGATATGTAATTTTGAAAAATAATGTCCGATCGAATGTGTTCTCGCGAAGTAAGTATATGCGGTCACATCGCGCGGTCAGAAACTGACCCAGAGCTGGATTTTTCTTTAGCGTTTCGCGAGCGCAGATTTTGGCTGCCCCTTCTTCCGCCCATAAATTCGTTTTCGCCGATTTTTACCCATGTTTGCACTTCGCATCAATCTTTCTTTCTGGTCTTGCCCTACATTTGGGACAAGACGACAAGAAAATCTAGCTACCGGTGATAAATTATCTATCCATCGATCTATTTATCTATTAGTATGAAGCGCGCGATCGCCAGATATTCAAATCGCACAAAGATATTCAATCGTCACACACATACACACACACACACACTGACGTACGTAATATTCTTTCAACAGATCTAAAAGGCGCGAATCAAAGTAGCAACGGGACGTGATCGATCAATTTGTACAAGTATGTACATCCCATGTGTATACTTTTTTACATCTTTAAGAAACATATTTAACATCTTTGCAAATATTATCGCGCGCGTACGAGCGCATAATTCTTATTCAGGTGTTGCAACATCGAGCGAAGAAATATATATATACCGGGAAAAATCCTTGGAGCGCTGAAACAAAAAAAAACAAAAAAAAAAAAAATACTCCACCGCGCGAGAGATTGCAGCGTTTAATTACGGCGAAATAAACGTCGAAATTCACGGCCGCGCGTTTTCACACACAACGGCGCGCACCAGCGCGGAGATCAACCGGCGACGAGAGAAGGTGGCCCCCACGTGATGCTGGACGTGAAATCGTCCGTGTTTGAGAATGTTTAATGCATGGACCGCGCGCGCGTCGTACCGTAGGTAGGTTGTCCGATGTTTGTACGGCTGTGCTCCCAAGCACAGATCCCGGAACCCCGAAGATATCGTAGAAGTACTGAGCAAACACTCCGTCTGACTGTTTCTCAATCAGAGTCGCTTATATACGGAAGGCGTAGCGGTTATATAGCAGCGCTCGGTACACTCGGTGTTTTTCACGGTCATATTCCAACTCCAAGTGCGCAATTTGTCATCATATAAAGCACATCGCTTTTTGAGTTTATTCAATTTTAAATAAAGACTACATATATCTCTCTGCGCGCGCGCGCGCGTCTCTTCTTTGAAATAAATTTATCTATCTGACAATTGCGTTAAAATCTACGTCTATCTTATAATAAAATATTTTCACACTGTCATATTTTGGCGATTAAAATAAAAATTAATTGACGGCGAAAATGTAACTTTGTATAAATTCTCTCCGAGAACAAAGTATCAAACAGCATCGAGTACCTACTAAGTGTAACGAGATTTGAAATTGCCGATCGAATCTCGGAAGAAGCTGTTTTATGTTTCGGGCGCAATTTCGAATCTGAATCGTCTTTGCATCAATTGCATCTTCGATGTAAGAGCGCGGAGAATGGGCGGCGAGGCGGCGGCGCGTGCACGGACGAGACTGGCACGCGAAGAAGACGACGGCGAATGGTGGCGAATTTACGTAATGAAGCGATCGCCCGGGTGGTCTCGAGCGTGAGACGCGCACGTAACGTCTCTCGTCGTTCCCGAGAACGATGCCACGGTGGAAACAACAAAGAGAGAGAGAAAGCAGAAAGATCTCTCTTTCCTCCGGGAACGAACTCCTCGCGCAGACGACTCTCCTCCGACTCATCGTCGAGCGTTTCACGGGCGAGCCGAATTAACGGCACCGGAAATACGAGGCGCGCGGCGCTCGGACGCATTATGCGCATGGGAGAAAAGACGGGGTATATAAAGCGCGTTTACCACCCACAATCACTTGCCAAAATCCACGTGCGCCTCTCCCGTGTGATTTCTACCACACCGGGCCTCCGAGACGCCACACGTCAGAATATTTGATATGGGTTTTGCCTCGAGCGCTATGCGAAAACCAATCGCCGATCTTTCAAAGAAACATCGCCGACGTTTTACGTTCGCGCGATTTTCAGAAATTATATTCTCGTTATGTGCGAGAAATAGATTTTTTTTTTTTAATTAAGATAGAAGTCCTCACACTTCAATTATATTTTTAAATAAGTCTCTTCGATCGTTCTGCCATTAGTTCTGTTTCTCGAATACTCTGTGGAAGAATCTCTTCGCGCTCTCGCGGATATATGTACGAGCGAGTGTATTCGACGATGCAAGAACGAAGAACACACGCGGAAACCTAGTCTCTCGAGAAAATAGAGACGTCTCTCCCGTCACGCACCTACACGCGTCCGCGCACATATTCGTGTATAACTCGATTAAGTTTACGGAAGGAGAAAAGTTGCTGTTGTTGTGTAGGAGATTTTTCGACCATCTGTCCAATCGGATTGCTAATGTAAAAAATTATTCCATTCCAATTCTATCGCACAAATAACATGTCCAACCTCTCTCTCTTTCTCTACTTCGATATTCTTGATTAATACGAAATAGAGTTGTGCGGTTGTTACGGAGAAAGAGAAAACGAGCGAGGAAGAAACGGCGAAGTTACGATCTATTTCGTCGGCGTACGTGACGATGCACGAATATGAGAAGCACAGCGGGAAACGCATAAGAGATAGACTAGAATTACCGAGAAAACGATAACACAGGGCGGCACGTTGGAAACGCGAAAAAGGAGTTGACGGTACGGGGGAAGGGAGTTGATGAATATAGTTTGGGTGCGGCATAAAAATCGGCCGCGCGTTTTAAAAGGAACCCGATGCCGCGGTGCGGATCGTGCATCAGGCTCGCGTTGCACGCGCTTACGTTTCAATTAACATCGCGTTTCACGCGAAATTGCTTAACTCGCGCCACGCGCGAATGGCTATCAACGTGATCATATCGCCGCGGTGATGTGAAAATTAGTTTACGGAACCAAACGAACTCGCGCACCGAATAGACCAGTTGCACGCAACCAAAACTCAAAGCAGCTTTTTATCATCCAACTTTTTTACACTAATTTTCACAAGTGATAACAATAAAATTACGGATTATAAATCATAAATTTTATCGCACGCATGCTTCGTTTCAATTAAAAACCTATTTTAAAATACAATAATCAACGTGTGCAACTACTCGATGAAACACGCAACCGCGGTGATCCAAAAACTTGTCTTATAAAAAAAAAAACAAGGCACTAAAACTCTCTGTAATTTATGTTCCTTCATTATGTTGTTTTTTTGTTTTCTTAATTTGTCCGATCCGAATTATTTCGCGAATAAACGCACGCTTGCCATAAACTCCAGTTAGCCGGTTATTCGCGGCACGTAATTAATTAACCGCGCGAAATTCAAGACCTCTACAGCGAGCGCGCGCGCGCGATCGTACGTATATACTCCTTCCCTTCTTTCTCGCGATGTTTTCTTTAATCCGTCGATCGCGAAAATCCCGCGTGTATGCGAAATAAGGAAAACGTCGTTTACCTTCCAAATACCATTTTCGATGAGCAGCGCGGAACGTTGAATACATGTTATGAGGTTATTTTTGGAACGCTCGTAGAAGACGAGAGATATATATTCGCGAAGAGGCATCCTTGAAAAGCAAAGAATCAACACCTTCGATCTTCCGGACGGAGCGCAGAAATCCCGGTCGACGGTAAGTCAACGTTACTGCCTGATAAATCCCGTCGATACGAGTGGCTGGCGACCTTACGAGGGTCGAAAGCCAAGTAGAATAAACCGAAGAGCCAGAAGGCCTCCGAGTTCTCTTGCGCGGAGTTTCCGCGACGATCTATGTTTGTTCAGCCTTGCGCGTTCGTCTCACCTTAACAACGTCCCGTCCACCTCCGCGCGCTTTCGCCGGAGTTCAAGGATATCTAGGATATTAAGTGGCGCCTAGTTTTCACATCTCTTAGAAGGCACCTTTCCTTATCTCCTTTTCTTTCGCCTGCGAGATCTCTCTCTCTCTCTCTCTCTTTCTCTTCCTCTCTCATTTCGGCAGCCATCGATTCGATCCTATCAAGGATGCGGTTAATTACACATCGCGCAACACAGCCACAAAGTCATCAGGTCCCCTCGCACAAAGAGATCAACAAAAGAGAGCGGGAGCAGACGGGCGGTATGCGCGCGAGTCGCATACCTGTCGGTTATTAAACCGTCGATGCGAATCGACGTTTTATCCTCGAATTATACAAATCGAGGAGGTCCTCTTTGTGCGCCGGCCGATCGAGAAGCTGAGTCGCGCTCAAAGGTCGTGCTTTGACACGTCCGGCCGATTGTGCGCGATTGATGGATCGCACGAACATAGTTATCCGCATTAAAGGGTAAATCTGCTTTGCATATGTGTTTATCGTATTTCCCCATTCGGTCGAGCGAGTAAATAAGCATTTACAACGCCGGGAGCCGGCGAAAAATTCAGCTCGACGTCGTTAAGATTCTCGCGCGCGTCATCGTGTCACGTTCCTGACGCGACGCGCTTACAAGAACGTTTTTAGTGGCGCCCTTGTCTCGTGAGAAATAATCGCGACGAATATCGCCATGGAATGTCTTCATATTTCTTCGTCGCGAACGCAAACACTCGGCGACGCTCGGAAGATACGCGATAATTAATACTTTTATTACCGTAATAATATATATAAATAGTGTTTATACATCGTAAGAGAAATCGCCGCTAATTATCGCGTTCGAGCATTACTCTCTCTCTCTCTCTCTTTCTCTCTCTCGATCGTATAATGTGCGGATCTTTACACATTATCCGACCGTACAGTATTTAGAGATATGCCTCTCGCACGCGCGTCACAACGCGAGAGGAAGAGAGAGAGAGAGAGAGAGAGAAAGAGGAAGACGAGAAATTCCGCGTACAATATTCGGTAAATCATTGGACGTTTATTATAGTTAATTAGTCGACTACTCGGCTCCGTTCGACTAGTTTGCACGTGTATCATTGAAAGAAGAGGACAGCCATACGCGTGCGCGTAATAACGCGCCGTGCAAAGGTTAATATGCGTCTCCTCACGAACCAAAAAGATGAATTTTATCTTCGCCACAGTGATATATATATATATATATATATATGTAAATTCCGCTTGATTCTAATTTCGGTCGATAATTGCTTTTGTTACGTTACACACAATTACACATTATTTTGCTACGTATAATTTTTCTACGATATCTAAAATGTATTTAACACTTGGCGCGATGAGAGACGCTTCCGCGTCTCTCTCGATTCGGCAACTCGATGCGAACGTACCTTCGGTGAACGAGGCAACACGCTCGGTCAAGTGCTCTCACACACAAGGAAAATGTTATAAAATTAAAAAAAAAAAGAAAAAAAAAAGAATAGTTTTCCCATACTTACTTCATAATTATATCCATGGGCGGTATTGTCCTCCCTGGTAATGCGATCTTCTCATATTTAACACCAACATCTGTGAATTCCTACAACAGAGGCGTCAGCCAAATAAGCGAACGCACGTGTATACATTATTACGTAACAAAAGCAGAACATTCTCCATCCGCGCTTCCATGCGCGGATGCATTAATTAAAGCTCGGGCATGTAATTTGATCGAAACTGAGAGACTATTGTCCCGCTAAACCGCTTCGCAACACACTCATTAGCATCGCTAATTATCGTCACATAAAACCGTCAATGGCAAACAATGCGTGTAATCATACGTGTCTCACAGCGTGTCATCTGAATGTGTGACGCAAAATCGAATGATCGCAAACCGAAACAATCGATTGTGACAAAAGCTTGAAAGGGCGAAGAGGAAAGATATGAGATAATTGATACGAACGAAAGCGAGGAGAGATTCACTGTCATTTGTAACTCGGAAAATATTTTTTGTTGCGCGAGCGTGTCTGCCTTGGGGGCCACCGCAACATGTTGCATATTCATGAATTTCTCTATTATGTCTCTAGTCTCATTGTGTTCTCAGACGTCAAACGTAATATTAATCAAAAGTAAACAACAAGTCGGATTGTTAGATAAAAACAAAATATGAAAAATAAATTTTTGTAACACATTGTAAGTAATCTCATTTTATAAATATCATGATAATAGCTTGCAACAATTAATTTGAATAAAAATTTGCTGCAAAAATTTAGAATGCTAATAATCGTCATCGTCAACAATTAAAAAAAATACAATAGATGATTTTTAATGAATAAAAATATATCAATGCAATGTAATTCTAACCCGTTACGAGCGATATCGCAGACAACGGTTACCGCTCGTTTTCACCCTAATGACAGATCACGTCATAATAATCAATCTTTTTGACTTTTGCTTTTAGTGAGATATTAGAAACTCAATCCTAGTGATCGTGCAGTATTGCTCTTAATGGGTACCTCGAGGCTATTTTCTTTTCTTTGGTCGTCAATAACGCGCAAGAAATTCTTTTTACACGCGCTCAGAAGTTATTTTCACTTCTGAATATCAAAAGCAAACTAACTGTCACATTAAAATGGAAAAGTAATTACGAAAACATAAAAAAAAAAAAGATTTCTTATGTAAATTTTGCTTGCATGATTCTTTTTATATAAAAACACACAATTTTTTTTAATTATACGTACAATATTTCTCCGAAGAAAGACACAGCGATTTACGCTCAGATTTCAAGAATATCAAAAAAAAAAAAAAAAATACACGAAAGTATCGAAACTACGAAAAGCAAATACCACAACCTGATACGAGCGATAAAGATCTCTACGGCCGGTATATCCCTCTAACTCTAGCGACCCTTTTGTTTCTAGCGCACAATGTTGTTTTCTCTCGTGACATCGATCGCGGGCAAGGAAAATTAAAGGACCGACAGAGCGCTTCATTATACACGTATAATAACGCTCTAATTAGGCGTGGGCGACATCGAGAGATCTTCGTGTTAATTATCGTTAGAGCCCGTAGCGCGCTATTGATGCTTCACGGCGGCGGGTGTAGTGTTTTTAAAACAACATCCCACCCTAGGGATTCTCTCGCTTTCTTTGCCGTGGCAAATGACTGTTCGAACGCCGGTGGGTCTCCGAGAAAAACAAAAAACAAAAAAACAAAAAAAAAAAAAGAGAACGGAAGACGGAGCGAACGGAGAAACCGACTTCACGACTTATTAATATAATTAATCGGTCCTCGGTTCTGACAGCTATGACCCAGAAAAAGTACCGCGCGGACGTATTCCCGCGCTCGACGCGTCCGAGACGATCAGTCAGCCGATCGAGTTGTTGGCAGCCCCGGCTATTCCAAAAATCTAATAATAAGTTCATTAGCTCTCTCGCGCCGTTCTTTGCCCTCCGCTACAAATTAGTCAAACCTCGCTCTCGAGTGTTCTCAAAGTGGGAAATGACTGCGACGCAATGATTAGAATGTTCGGTGAATGAAGAAGGACAGGCGAAATGAAGGAAAGAAAAATGACAGACAAATGGAGATAGCAGAACAGTCGGGAGAACGAAAGAGAAAGAGAGAGAGAGAGAGAGAAATGTTGTATGTGTGTATCGTCTTGAATCGTAAGGAATGCAGATAGGTGACAGTTCGCAAAAGAGTGAGAAGAGAAGACGTCTCTTGTTACTAAAAGGTAAGGGAGTGCGTGCATAAACATAGCGAATTAACGACATGAAACTCAAACGTTTAAGCGCGTTGCGTCCCCGAATTAAATTCGCATGACAATATCGCTGTTATTTCATCGGACGTTATTGCCGGGCATATGGCCCCCTTTTTAAATCGCATGCAACAATCTCAAGCGAACTTAATTCCAACGCTGTTTAATTTTTTACAATCAATCCAATTATCGATCTTAATATTTAACGTAAATATAATATATGTACATATAAGCTTAGCGTTAAATGTGTCTCTTGCTGTAAGATGTAAAAATCAAAAATTTACACACAAAGCCGCCAAACAAAATTTAAACTTTGGCTCTCTTATGCGAACCTTACCTTCTTGTCATAGTAGCGATAAGTGTTCGTTAGGTCGACGATATACTTGAGTTGAGGAAACTCTTGTAGCAATATTGCTGTTGTAAATCTGCAACAACGGACATGGCCGGATATTATAAGCGATCGCAAAGAGCGGCCCGTATCGCGGCCGCTCGTATGTAACGAGCTACGCTACTTGAATCGGTGCGTGAATAAAAAAATGTGACGTCTTCCTTCTTTCGCTCGTAGACACACAGGGAGAAGAACATGTAGAAGGATATCTAGTCTAGGGTTATAAAGACGCGCGGCGGATACGCGATGAGATGCCTTCTTTTTTTTCTTTTTTATTTTTTTCGAAGGGGGCGCGCGACCTGTACGACAATGATATATTAAGGGAAGCATGGAATCTGAGGTTCTAAACGAAAGGAATATCGGATTAGGCGGGGGTGTCGGCCCAAATAGTTTCACCATCCCTTTCGATATATCAAAACCGTCTGAGAGACGTACCAGGTGCACACTATGCGTGCGTGCGTGCGTGCGTAGATATTACGGGATACGTGCACACGAGCTGTTGCTTCGCCCCCTCGTCGAACCAACGATTCCCCCATAAATAAACAACCCTCGTTCGTGTCTACGTTGAGAAAATGTTATATAAAAAAAAAAAAAGAAAAAAAAGAGAGCTCCCGTGAAATTTATTGGGATACTAGTCGATTTGAAAGCTATTAACGGCGAGCTAATGTGACCCCCGAGATAGATTTATGCAGCTGACCGGGTGAGAGAAGTATCACCGGTCTTCGAGAGAGAGAACGCGCCGCTACAATCATTGCTATAATTTCCACGAAGCGCCGCGATTTATCGACGAATGGACGAAAAACGTTTTTTTTTTCTTCTTCCTCTCTCCTTTCACGCTTCGGGTTACCGCGGCGCGACACCACTCCGTCGATCTCGCTAATGCGCTTTAGTACGCTCATGCATCATCCCCTTGTCTGCCGGGAGAGAAATTCTGCACCGCGCTGTAAACGCCGCAGAGAGAAATAAAAGAGACAAAGAAAGAGAGAGAGAGAGAGAGAGAGAGAAAAAGAGAAAAAGAAAGAAAGGCGGAAGATCTCGGCCATCGGGTGTTTACACGAGGTGTCCGAACAACAAGTCATCTTCGATACTTACTGCTGGTCTGGCTTCAAATTCTTCGATATAGACTGAAACAAAAAGAAAACAAATATCTATCATCAGCGAAGGAACGAAGAAATAATTAATAGTCGTTAGCGGCTTACGAAAAGAAAACGGACTTCAAACGACATTTCCGAACAGCTTTATTCCCGCTGCCACCAGTATCATTTATGAGACCTGCACGGATGTGTACGACAGGACACGCAAGTCATCCCTCCCCCCCCCCCGTTTTTCGTTAATTAATAGCGTGTGCTTAATAAGCCGCACGAGACGATCGCGCGCCGCGATCGCACGGATCGCATTTAGCTGCGAAGCTAACGAGTGATTGATTGACTCGAACCTTGTGTCGGATAACGATATGATGATACGCGCAGCGATACACGGTGAGCATCGCGGCGGCGAAACCATAAAGGCACGCTTCAGCCACGCGGGCACGATGACTCGGTGATTATTACACCAAAGCGCGTTATTCAACACGATTCATGATTCGATATCTATGCGTTACTCTGACACGTATCTCCGAAACGTTTTGAAGACCTATTTGCAACAATTAAAAATCTGGAATTGGACAACGCTACGAAAAAATGTCGAAAACACATCTCTCAAGATATTTTTTTTCATGTGACCATTGTCCGGCCTAATCACGCCGTTATCATTATTTTTCTATTATTTTCACATTACGATATTAACCATTATTTTTCTATTATAATATTTACCATTATTTTTTCACGGCATATATATATATATATACCATGATAATGATAAAATAATAGTAAACTAATGAGTCCGGTATATTATATATCGACCTCAGTTCAGTCATTCGGTCAGTGTTGAACAGTCGGTCGGTTCGTTCACTCGGTCTAAGTCTGCAAATAAGTAATAATTGTAAATCATCGTGAAAATTGTGAAAAAAACAGTTCTTTTTGATACGTTGTGACAATTCTTACATTCGGAGACGTATTTTCTTTCGATTTGACGAAAGAATGTATCAAAACAATGAGGAACCAAAAAGTGACAACACACACACACAGCAGAGTGAGTAAAGATATGTGTACACGTTTGCTTTAAATTAACAGATTGCATCGAATAGCGCACGCATATAGGTAAATTGAAACTTTCGTTAGTCCCGTCTCGTCGCACCCGCTATGGGTGGGCTAAATAGTAATTACAGGTTTAGACGTAGCTATTCGATTGGCTGGGCGGAGTGAGATCGTATCTACGGATGAGTACGGAATGAGTATCGGTCGCATTAATAACGGACTCGTGCGGACTCCACGAGCTTTCGTATATCCGAACGTAATAATCCGTCGTTGACTAGGCGTGAGATCTTTTTCCCTATATCCCCCTTTAAGATCTCTAATGACCGGTATTCTGGTTGTTCGTCGTAGGTTTCGTATTTTTGTTGATGTAGTTTTGCGCGATCGGGGGAGTTTCACACTTACGAGATATTAAATTAAATTACACGCGCGTCTGCGTGATAAAAATAAATGCTTGCGTGATATGCAAGAACAAAGCTAAGATCCAGATGTACGCAGCGAACAACGTCACGACGCAAATTCGCGTCCGGCAAAATGCATTTGACGAGTCGCAAAACTCATTGCACTGACGCTCCAAGTAAGGACAGAAGGCGCGAGAGATAAATGCGAGGATTTACGAGCCTTCCTCGAGAGAGAGAGAGAGAGAGAGAGAGAGAGAGAGAACATTCGCGACACACCTCGACAGAGTTCGGCGGGCCCCCGTAAACCGCGGAGAGGAGTCAAAAAAGAGAAGAAAAAAAAAAGAAGAAGAGACAGAGAGAAGAAGACGAGGATGCAGGTAGCTTTTGCCCACCTGTAAAATTTACTAACCCCGCTCGCTCGCGCCAGCGGCAGTTTATTTTTCGCACGATACATACTCCGTTCATCGCGGCTTGACAGCCGGTCCCGCTCTCTCCGCTGATTCCACCATTCAATTTAACAATCCTCAGTCTAATATATGGGACCGTCTAAATCAGGATTATCGGGCCGCTCCCGCATTGTGAATCTTCTTCCTGACGGTCCGCACGAGTTTGTCCGTCGCGCGCCACGAACTTTGTGCGTTCCAATCTTCGTCCGCATCCTCTCATTCGCTCGTTTTTAAAAGTTACATATTTCGATGCGAGTTGCGGGATTATCTTTAGGAGAAAAAAAAAAAAAAAAAAAATCACTTTTTGATTGATACAATTTCGTAACAACAGTTTTTGTGATTCGCCGAGATATTGGTTCTTCTTTGTGTGATTTTCAACAGCTAGAATGAAATATTTCGCCGCGTGCGTGTGAATCTAGACGTGGCATCTGGATGGGATCTATGGGCGGATCGCGCACAGTAGGAGTCCGAAGTCGTGATTTCGCGCGCTGACAAATTTGACCGGTCGAAAACACAATAACGGGACAGATGTTAAATCATATTTCGGTTTGTCCCCACTGGGCGAGACATGCGTACACGTGTCCTGTTCGCAGCAAAAGATTTCGAAATGACGTGAACCGTGAAAGATTCTTTGAGTTAAGGTAAACAAACACCGCGATTATCAAAAAAACATCAACGTCTTTGTACATTTAATGACTGATGTGCGCACACTTAACACACACACATTAAAAACCTTTGTGTAACACATATAAATATTTCATAAAAAATAAGCATTGATCACAGATGCAGAACGCGGTGGAGAGCCGTCGGACAAAAATGTGGCCTTTGCGCGCCTTTGTCGCAAACCTTTGTTGACCAACGGCGATATTTACTGAAAGTTTTTACAAAGGACAAATCTTTCATTTCTTTTGCGATAGACCAAGAGTGGGCTGTACAACATTCGTAAGATTCTCGCCTCTGGTCAACATAATTCTCAGCCGAACCGAGGCGTGAGAACTTAAGCGAAAACGAAAACGAAATCGAAACGCGAATCAAACAATTAAGACACACACCTTATTAATATTTTTTTTTTTAAACAAAGTTACGTTCTTGATTGTAATTCGTAAAAACACAGCGATGTAAAATCATAACTCGGGAAGGAACAAGATATAGAAAAGAAAAAAAAAAAAAGAAGAGAGTCAGCAACTTGCGAAAGAAACATTTCGTCATGCGAAAGAGAGAGCGACATTTCTACACACGCTCGTATAAGAGCTACGTAGAGAAGGCCATATAGACTGCTATATGACCAACTCGAGCTGATATATGCGCGACGTTATCCGTATCCACTTACTTCCTCGTTTGGCAAAAGATTCGAAGCGATCTTTAAAATGGGTCACCTACGCGGAAAGAAGACATGTGCGATATCACACGACGACGACGACGACGACGACGACGACGACAACGACGCGCCGCGCCGTTCCATCAGTTATCATCAATGACTTTTTAACAGTCGTTGAAAAATGCGGCATCGATTGCGCGCAATCTCGAGAAACCGAACGCGCGTCGGATCCTTCCTCTCTTATTCGTTTAATGATGAGAATGCGCTGACTGTGAACTCTACGGTATTTTTATTGCCGTAGAAAATTACTACTCCGTGAAGATTTAAACGCGACCGAAAAGCACTTTCGATCTACATTCGAGAGTAGATCTATTTTCGCGCGAACATTTCAAACATATATATATATATATAAATATATATAAGCGTCTCCTTTCCTGTTCTTGTATAATTTAACATAATGTTTATTAGCGTGCGAGATAGCGCACGAGACTTCGGATAACAAATGAAACTTGGATTCATCAATCTCCGCGCGTCGCACGCGCGGTCGTGCAACGGGGGCTCTTTGAAAAATCGAAAACAGAATATCCTCAACCACAAAGATCCGGAAAATTGATTTTCCGCCTTGTTAATCACGCACGCTCAGCCTTTTCCGCGGTGCCTTTACGATTCCACAATTGCCGCGAAGGACCCGAAGAGATTCAAAATCGATGTAAGTGTCGAACGCCACGCGTCGAGGGGACTTCGTTGTGTGCCCGGTAAATCGATCGTTAGATTTCAAAGATATATCGATCATTAATAATCGAAGATATTCGAAAATATTTTTGTCAAATTAAAATTCTCTTGTGTAAAAAAAAAAAAAAAAAAAAAAAAAACATACATAAACGAATAATAGGCCGATAAACCGCGACGAGCGACACGATTTCTAAAACGTAGGATATCACACATTCGGAAGTCGATTATGGTCGTCGTGCGTGACGATACGACGAGAAGAACTTCGCCGTTCTATGTGGATAACGAATTAGTATCGCTTGCTCGGACACGAGGCTTTATAGACTGCCATCGCTCGCCGCGTGTTTCCTATCAACGGCTATCGTATAGGACGACGTAAGCGAGGAACGTGTTTCCCGAGCGCGTATAAATAATAAGACCGCGTCGGCAGTCGCTATAATTCAATTCACACCTGATAACCGCGACCGTAGAATTTCCATATTACAGACCGCGTAATAAAATTAAAAATATTTTCGTGGCGGTCCGCGCGCGCGCACGCCCCGGGGGGGATGTCTTTCTCTCTTCTCCGTCCTCATTCGGTCGAGACGATCGCGATCCTCTCTGCGCGCGTTCGCCGACATCACGAATTTGTTCCTCGAATTTGTTTCCCGTTGTCGCCGGTGGTCCGTCGTCGTCGGGGACCACATGACGAACGAGCGAGAACGCGCATGCAAAACGAGCGGCAAATATATTTTACACGCCGGACGAGATCGAAAAGTATCCCATAGACACACGCGCTAGACAACTAATTACAGTGCTTGCCTCGCGCACGAATGACTAACGGTCATCTATTTATGTGACGTTTAGCAAAACAACGTAGCGAATATTATATTTGCGATTTCTATCGTCGTTTGTTCTTCGTTTTGCGCGAGTTTTGAGCGTATAAATTTGAATTATTTAACTCGGTTATTTATTCAAATTTTATATCGCTAAGAATTATTGTATCACCGCGCACGCAATTTAAAATGAAAATTGCGTAATAAAATTCGACATCGTTCATCTTCCGCGGATACAAATGTTGTTGCGATATCGACACGATGCACAGGGGGGGAGGGAAGG